TAATTCTTCCTACTCAAAGAATATCTTGAAGGCATTAGAACACTAAAGTTGATTATGTGTGTTGTATCGAAGATTTGTTAATTTCCTAATAAATTTAAGCCCGAGAGACTTAGGAGTCATAATTAAGGATCTGTTATAAAGAACTGAAAATGTAAAATAATATGTAAATGTTCCATGGCCAAACTGAACACAGGAAAGGCTTTAGAAAAATACTGTGCCTCAACGTAATATGTTTTTCTTCAACAGATACACTCTCCTTAAGTTTCTTTACTAGGAATTCTATTTTCCTGAGGCTGGATTGTCCCCAGTAACTGCTATAGTAAATGGGTCCTCCTTTGATGCTCAAAGCCAGAAGAGAATAAGACTAGCACTGGCTTGAGATGTATTTGTGGCTTTTTGATGTAGACCCTGGAGAAAAAAAAAAAAGAAATCTTGAATGGGAGACACAAGGGTGAGAAGAAAGAAGTAGCACTGTGCTTAAGCTTATGTTGGTGGCCTTAGTTTTTTAAAGTGAGAAAAGACTGGCCTCAGGAATTGGGTGTCTGATACAATTTATTTCACTAAAATGAGATGGACTTACCAAAATACTAGTCTCTTAAAAGTACCTGATTTGGGAGAATTTTAAAGTATGTCTCAAATGCTAGGAGGTAGAGTTAGTGGCTCACAGAGGGCAGAGAAAGGTAAATTTCTTGTTGAGTCTGATTTGATTGACCATCATCTAAAGATGAAAGGGAAACAGGCCCTTTCTGAGGAGCCAACCAGCGCTGTGCATATCAGGAAGGGAAGCATCCAGTGCCAGGGACTGGCTAAAGGAAAGCTGTCAGAGTGGATGACAGCTGTGATTTCCTTCCCTGAAGTGGAGCCACTGTCTGCATCTTCGGTCAATATGGATGTGGGGTCATATGAATCCTCTGGATCTAAAATATAAACCTATCTTCCTTAAGAATAAAATATGACTTTTATATAATGAGTAAAATTTGAATTTGCCCTTGCTTGCAACCCAGAATTACCCTGAGCTTTTACATTCTTAAATACCATTAATAATGGAAGTAAAAATACAATCTGGGGGGAAGAATTTTCTATCATATGCCTCTTAAGCACACAAGATGGCCTCTAGTACATTAGATATCAGGTTTCTTGGATATGTGTAAAGACACAGGGATATATTCTCTAATATTACCAGAGAATGAGTGGGGGAGTTTTATACAATATAATTGGATCGACTGTGGGTAATATTCAAGTGTCCTTTCTAGATTTACGGTCTATTACTAAGCAAGAAAGAATCTTAACCCTTTGCACTCAGATGTCGAGTGTGACTCGACACGATTAGCAAAAATTACAGAGATTAAAATTGCTCTTTGAATGTATCAATAATATGAAATATAAAAAAATCCAAATAAATAAGTTTGTATGAAAAGAAACTCCAGTTTTTTATTCTACTGCCGCGCCTTGTAAAATCTGGGGTATTTAAAAAATTAAATCTCCAGTAGAATAAAGGAATCGAGAAAAAAGCAAGCGAGTACAAAGGGTTAAGCTACAAACTCAGGCCAGAAAATGAGCTGATGAAAAAGGTGCCAATCTATAAATTGGTGAACGATGAGCTATTAGTAGCTTGAGTATGACAGTTCCATTTTCTTAATTCTTTGAACTAGTTTCATGAATTTTTGCCACTATCTATTTGGGAAAAGATATGCCTAAAAGGAATTATTGATAATCTACCCCAAGAAAACTATGGTATTTATAAGACTGATTTAGATTATAGATAACAAATTTTACCTTAATTTCACAGATACCATGCCAAAATGTATTGCCCAGTAAAAGGGTCCATGGTTGTAGTGATGTTTCATCAATCCACACACTGAAGTAGGCAGGCTAATGCCCAGTTTCTGTGGCTGATATCAAAATGTACTCTGATGATCCCATGTCTTTCTAAATAGAGACGATTGCAAGTGCTCCTGAGAAATCTCCATCAGAGCCTAGTGAAGCATTCAGCTGACCTTGAACTAAAGAGATCTGGTAGGCCAAAATGAGACAGGCAGTATTCTTGGCCATAGAAAGTGAATGGCTCAGCAACTCATTCTTGTTCCATGGGTTTTAGAAAGTTGGTGGCCTTATTGCTTTCATTTTCTTAATTAAGAGAGTGTCTGGTTGTTCCACCTGCAATGGTTTAAGCAAGTTGACTTCCTTTAAGCTCCTTAAGACCTTAAAATCCAGTTGCAGGATAAGAATCTTGTTAAATTCATATAACTTAAGAAACTAATATTAATATATACTATAGGAATGATGCAAACAAGTAGGAACCCAGAAAAGGTTCTTCTTACTTCTGCTGTTTCTCCATTTTATCTTTGACACATTTCCCTCCAATAAACCTCTGGTACTTCTAATTCTGTCTTGGTACGTGCTTTATATGTGACTCTTAACTTACATATATTGCAAAAGTGATCAAAATCTTATAAAAGTACTAAAAGGTGTAAAATGCAAAATTTGTTGATTTCACCAAAATATGCATCCTTCCAGGTTTTTCCCTTTTCCATTTATTTATTTTTTTCTGTTCACCTTCTCTCTCTCCCTCTCCCAATTCCTTTCCCAGAGCCCATGTGAAGTTTTATTGTGACAAAAGGGAAAAAGAGAATAAAGTTTGGCATGTATTTTCAAGAAACACTTACAGGAAATGTACAGACAGCTGAGCAGCAATTAGAAAGCAGAATCGTTAATTCCATTATCTGGTTTCAGTGTGTATAGATTATTCTTTCATTGACACTTGAGAAGGGGGAGGAGCAGGGTGAATGTGGTTTGGCTTTGCACTGATCAGGGATGATGAAGGCAGAAAAGTGAAGAATATCGTAGCATTGTCATGAAACAGCAGTGACTTCCTATTTTGAAAGTCTCCTCCAGTCTCAGTTTTTCAGGATAATAGAAGTTGTGAGATGAGAGGAATTATAGTACTATTAATATTTCATTTTATTTAAAAGGATATTTAAAAATATTTGTAGGAAAAGTAAAATAAGCAAATCCTTCTGAAAGAGCTTGTGATTGAAAGTTTATATTTAAATATACCCGTCAGGTTCTTCAAGAGGAAATCAGCAGTCAGACAATGACAAATCCTCTTGTTCACTGAAAATTATCACCCCTTCCCATAATATCATAATTCCGAAATCCCCTGGAAAGTCCCTTGAAAGAGGCAGTTTCAGAAAAAATAACAATATTAAAAGTATCTATTCAAAAGACCAAGATGGCCTATTTTAGCTAGACATTTACACTGCATGCATTTAACAAAAACACAGATATAGATTAACTCTGATGCTTTGACGATGATAAAAGTCCATATTCGGACATGAGTCAGGAAATCAAATTATTACAAAGTGATGAATTCTGTAGGTGATGAGAAATTGCAGAGTCGGTAAGATCATAAACTAAAATAAACCTCCAGGCTCATGACACTATTTTATAATATTTTTTCATAATTAAATTAGAATGCAACTTAATTATTGACTAAGGTAACCATTTTATTTAATTGGCCAAGTTATTATTTTTAGTGAGCTTAAAGACACAATATGTGTGGGTTAGTGGAGAGAGAGCAGTCTATTTATTACCTGAATTTTTATCAATATGTCATCGACAGCTTTTATCACAGCTGGTTTTTGTAACTTATTTAAATTATTGTGACATTAGAATAGGAATGTGAGTAATTCTTCACATATTTATTTTAAGCACATCAAATTTATAGATGTAATAGATATAACATATTAATCACTTGGGAAAATAAAAATAAAAATGATTCATATATATTATTTTGCAGGAGCTTCAAATTTGAAAAAAGTAACATGGATGGGTTTAACTCTCAAAGAATGAGAGTATTATAAAACAGAACTGTGAAACTTTTCACCTACAAATAACTAAATATACATCTAAATTTTGCTTCTATTTATATTGTACATAAATGTAAATTTCAAAACTTATAAAACATCTAGTATATATTTATATGCATATGGAGATACATAGATATAAACTATACATAAAGTTTGTTCCACAAATTACACTTTAAAACTCTATTACTATATGTTCACTACTGTATTATTTACAATGACACAGAAATAATTTTGAAAATTCACTAATGAAGAATGAACAAATAAACATTACATAAATGTTTTAATATTTACATCATTCAAAAATAATGAATTGGAAAGTTTTGCAAGGCATATTATTAAATGGAAGAAAAGAGAAAAAGAAAAAAGCAAGTTGTAGAGGCAATATGGCATTATGAATAAGATCATAGACTTTAGAATTATACTGAGCTTGAATACTGACTTTGCCACTTATTAGCTGTATCAAGGAAAATATTTTCAAGTACTTTGTACATTGTTTCCTCTTTTGTAAAATGAGGATCAAAATAGTACTTACCTCATAAGGCCACTGTAAGGATTAAATGAGTCATTATATATGAAATAATTATAATAGTACCAGGTAAAAAGTCAGCATTAAACTAGTTCTTATTTATTCAGGTATAGAATGACCTAATTTATGTTAAAATGCACAGAGATCACAATGCAAAATTATTTATTTTATATGAACATAGATATGTATGTAAGCACAGAGAAAAAGGCCTATGAATCTTCATGCCCAAGTGATACCAGTTTGTAACTTTTACCATGAAAGAGGATGCTTCTTATTTGAATATTTTCCATGGAGAATAAAGTTTACGCCTTATTTTTGTGATTAAATTTTAAATACTTTGATAAATCCATCAAATGCAATAGTATGCAACTAGAAAAATAATGGTACAAATTATATTCAATAAGTTATTGACATAAAAAAAGTTCATGCACAAATCATTAAGTGTAAATAAGCAGATCAAAAGATATTGTGAAAAAGGAAAGCAACAGTGAGGCTAGCTAATTAAACCATCATGCAACATCCTGCATTCAAAATGAGTATGTTGCAAGCACAGCCAAATATAATCAAGGAATAAAATGAATTAGAAAGTTTATGGATGTACTTACCCACCACACACCTGGAGTGCAGCGAATTTGGAAGCATCCAAACCATTGCCACTTACTATCCGAGCCTTAAATGAAGAATGAGAAAAAACAAAGCAAACAGGTTTTTAGCATACTACAGCTGTACGTACGTGAGTTTGGGACATGGGTCAACTGCACTACACACGTAACACCTAGTATGACAGATGCTAAGCAGGGTCAGCTCCAAGTCAAAGCTACTGTGTTTTTGTGAGTGGAAGTTTTGAAATTAGCTGTCAGCATTTAAACAAAAGCACTGGCAGAGTCCAGGAAAATATATCATATTCCAAATACTATTTGCCCTTAAAACTTGACATGTGCAGTGAAGATCATGAATCCGTCAGGAAGGTCATGATTAGCCAGACTTAAGAACAGATGCTGTGTTTGACCGTAGCAGACCCCCAGGTTGGCAAGTGTAAGCTAAAGTAAGCGCAGCTGGCAAGGTGTGACCTCTTCATAAACGCAACATACCAGGAGCACACTTAAAGGACAACCAAAGAATGGAAAGCTGGGATAGCATGCACATTTCACAACTAAAATAGAGGAACCAAAACAGGTCTAATATGTCACAAACATATACAAAAGACAAGATCCCTCAGGAGGGAAGAAAAAGCATGATTTAAAACCTTTTCATCCACAGAACTGCTATCTGAAAGAGAATCAGGAAAAGAAGGGATAAATGTTAGATGGAGTGCTTTTTCAAAAAAGTCATTTAAACATATACATGAACAAAGTGTTAATATGTTACATTGTTTAAAATCATAAATAGAGTTTCAAGGCTGAACCCCAAGGGAACAGGGATAGTTGGTTCTCATAATTTAAAGAGCTGGAAAATGTAACAGAATGCTTGAAAAGTATAATAGAATGATTATGGGATTTAATGAAAGACAGCATGTCATATTAAGAAAAGAATACATTGAAGAACTGGAAGTCTTGGGCCCAGGTTAGGGCTCTGCCACTGACTAAACACACTGGGCAAACAAATTCTTTAGAGCCTCAGTCCCCAACCCTCGGGCTATGGACTGGTACTGGTCCATGGCCTGTTAGGAAGTGGGGTACACAGCAGCATTTCAGTGGCAGGTGAGCAAATGAGCAAAGCTTCATCTGTGTTTACAGTCCCTGTCTCCCATCATCCCCAGAAGGGACTCTCTAGTTGCAGAAAACAAGCTGAGGGCTCTCACTGATTCTGCATTATGAGGAGTTGTATAATTATTTCAATATATATTACAATATAATAATAGAAATAAAGTGCATGGTAAATGTAATGCACTTGAATCATCTGAAAATCCCCACCCCACCTCTGGAATGCAGAAAAATTGTCTTCCATGAATCCCGTCCCTGGTGCCAAAAGGGTTGAGGACTGCTGCATCTAGGTCCACTTTAAAATAAGGTCACAAGTACTTTGCCTAATTGCCTCACAACATTATTGAGAGGATCAATTAAGATCAATATTTGTGAAAGTAAACTTCAGGTGACTATATAATTAAATTCATATTATTAAGGCATTATTTATTTATGGATACTCATATCACAGAACTTGAGAGATAAAAAATTAATTAAATTGATGTCATCTTACAAGTAAAAAAACTAATGCCTAAAGGGGTTAGGTGACTTGATTAAGATGAGAAAGCTAGTAAATGGCAGAAATGGTACACAAATCCAAGGCTCCTGATCTCCCACCTGGTGTTCTTTAGACCCAATGTTTCAGGTGAGCTGAACAAAATAATGAACGGTGGTTGGTCAAAACTTCAAATGCAATTTCAGATAAATCATAGGGTCAACAATTTTCAGTCCTTACTGCTCATGGACCCAAGTAGAATAGACTACTGAGTTTATTTGTTTGTTTGTTTGTTTGTTTGTTTTTTAAACTCAGGTCTAAATCTGCCAGGGTCATAGGACATGATCTATTACTACTTTACACAGTACTATTGCTCTTATACTTATTAATATAGCTTTGCTAATTAGCATAAAGCTGGAGAAACTTCTCTATGAATATGTTGGCAGAATGCTAGAGCTGGAGTGATCTTGAAATTAATTTAGTCCAAACTCCTTATTTATATAGATGAGCCCCAGAAAGATAAAGATTTGCCCAAGGTCATGTAGCTCAATGATGACCTTTACTGATAAAATCTGAAATGTATTGGTTTTCTTGACTTAACAAGTATTGATTGCTTAATTACCATAACTAACTATTTTTGTGCAGATTTTACAATATCTCAGGCTTATCTTCAAATATAAAACAGGACACAGTACGTTGTAAAGTAATAAAAGACAAATTTATGGCCATAAATATTTTAAAATACTATATAAAATATAGAAAATAAAATTCAGCATTATTTCAGAATAATATACCATACCCAAGAAAATTTTAACCACATATGATTTAAATCATGGAATGACTAATTTAATATCTCAGTTGGTCAGAAGATACATATCTGTATAGGTGCCAAAAAGTCATTTGATGAAATTCTAAAACCTTCTAAATAATTTTTAAAAACTCTTTAAATAGGATTGAAATGGGTTTTCCTTAAGTTTGTGTTAAAAAATGTTATTTTAGGAGTCATCAGATTCTGTGTAAAATATTAGGGCATTGCAATAATCATTAAAAGAAAAACAAAACTGATCAGAAATGTCATTTTAATTTATTTCTGGAAATTCTGGCCAATATATTTTTTAAAAACTTATAACTTTGACTCAAACTGTACAAAAGCAAATTATGTAACCAAAGCGTATATACTCCTGTAAAATTCTGAAATAAAAAAAAAATATAAATATTAGAAGGCAAGATAAAAAGTTGTTAGTATTTTTAAGAATTATAACTTTATATCTAGGAAGAAAAACAAAATAAAATCATCTGGAAAACTGTTAAGGTAACTAAAATACTTAAAGAATCTATATATTCAAACCATAAACAAAATAATAATGTTATTTCCTATACACTAGCCATAACTAGTTGGAAAACAATGAACAGAGATCTCATTTCAAATATCTAACACTTTGAATGAGTAATTTGTTTTCATTGACTCCCATTAATATCTATCTTCCATCTAAACCATTCTACTAAATGAATGCAAGCTTACCAGTCATCAGTTACTTTTCAACTACTAAATCTGGTAATACATTGACTCATTCAATGTTTCATTCATTCGCTCATTCATTTATTGAATACATATTTATTAATTATCAGTGAAGCTTTTTTGTTCACTTTGACTCCTTTTTCTCCCTGCTATATTCTATACTGAAACGTTTCTAGATATAGATATGATTATGCCAGTCTTAAAACCCACCAATGATACACAAAGCCATGTTGAAAGAACATCAAATCCATGCCTACTGCAGTCGCATGACTCATCATTTCTCATTCACATCCTAAGCTTCAGTCACAATTATATTCTCAAAGTTCCATTTCTGTGCCAAGCTCTTTGAAATCTATGTGACTTTGCATTTGCTGTTCCCTTTCTCTAAAACAACTTTTTCCCTTCCTCATCTAATTGCCTGTCATCCTCCAAAACTCAGTCAAAGTAAAACCCTCTCTCCTGGACCTGGGTTTAAGTGTCCTGTGCATTCCTCTTTGCTAATGCATATCCTTTCCCAGTTTCCTCATCTGTAATCCTCCCCATATTGGAGCTCCTTAATGGTAGTCTGATTTTTAAAGTTCTTTTTCCTAGCTTCTACCACATTCCTGAAATATAGCAGATGACCAATAAATGTTTCTGAATATTAAACGAACAACTTTAATAAGCTATATCAGCTTCTGGAAGTATCTAAAAATCTGAAGAAAGGAAAATATTATTTCATTTTCCTATATAGGGAGAATGGATTATAATCTAACAAATTCAGATTTAACAGTCAAGATCCCAGTGGTAGGTTGTTGTAACTTCAAATCATCCTAATTTTAAGTGTAACTGGGTTAATAAACAAGTGAAAATATCTAAGACTTTTAAAAATTAACATTATGAGAACAAAAAAATACTAAAAATCTATAACATCTAAATGGTATAACAGATTAAAAATACAAAATAATAGACTAAAATATTAGTCTGGCAAAATAATAGACTAAAAGATTAATGAAATGAAATATAACTAAGACACTATCATACTTAAGAACTCAATGACTAAGAAAGGAAACACTTTTATAAAAGATAGAGAAGCACTGGTCAGAAAATGGCCCTTACACAATTAGTTATATATCTGTAATATTCAATAGTATCTGTAATATTCAACTGTATCCTCATTTCATTCATATGCCACCAAGTTCCATATGTATTAAAGAACATAAAATTAGTAAAATAAAAAAAAAACTAAAAAGAGAAAGAAGTATTTATTAAACCTATTTTATAATTAACCTCATTTTATAAGCCAGGTTTATAAAATGAGAATGGATGTTCAAATTTAGAAATAACAGACAATTCACAAATTAGAATGCAGTAATGGTAAATAAGCATGAAAAAATTATTCACTTTATTAAAACTATGCCTAACTATGATTACAAAATTAGCGAAGATTAAATATGTTAATTTTAATAAAAGTAATCCCCAAGGCTGTTGAGAATATCATGAATCAAACACCATCATGCATAGTTGATGAGAGTAAAATTATAATAACAGTTTCAGAAACTTTCAGTGATGTCTATCAATAAAATGTTTTGATAAGAAATTTCCATTTTTGGAAATCAATGCTAAGAAAGTTATTTTTGTTATGGGTTGAATTGTGTACCCTCCCTCAAATTTATATGTTACACTCCTAATCTCTAGTACCTCAGAAGGTGGCCTTATTGTAAAATTGGGATCTCTGTAGATTCAATTAATTAAAATGAGGTTATCCTAGAGCAGAATGGGCTCCTAGTTCAATGTGACTAGTGTTCTTATACAAAGGAGAAATTTACAGATAGATGCACACACAAGCAGTACATCATGTAAAGACTGGAGTTAGGCTGCCCCAAGCCAAGCAAACTGTCAGAAACTTGGAGAGAGGCCTAGGCAGATCCTTCCCTAATACTGTCAGAGGAAGTATGGCCCTGCCAACATGTTGAACTTAAACTTCTAGACTCCAGAACTCTAAAACAATGTCTGTTGTTCTAAACCACTCAGTTTGTGATACTGTGTTATGGCAGCCCTAGTAAACTAACATAATTTTAAATACTGAAAAAAGTTTATGTGTGAGGATCAGCATTGCTTCATTATTTATCAGAAAAAGATTAGGAAAACATACCTAATAAAGTCTAGACATTACAGGATGAAAATTTTATTCTATGACCTTAATGCATAACTTATGACCATGAAAATCAATTCATGTAAAGATTAAGTGAAAATATAACAAATTTTTATAGCTTATGAAATAAAAATTAGAAAATAACATGTTTATAATAATAACTATGAAAAACAAGAATATTTATACATAGAAAAAGCCTTGAAAAGAACATCACCAAAATGTTAACAGTTGTTCAACCTCAATAGATTAAAATATTTTTTCTACTTTCTGTATACTCTTTGTATTTGTATACTCTGTATACTCTTTGCATTTTCCAAGGTTCTTTTATTTAATAACCATCTTTTTAATTTAAAAATGACTCAATATTTTATACGATGGCATAAAAATACATATTCCTCTCAAGTGCACATGGAAAAACCTCCAGTGTAGATTACACTG